AAACGAAATGCAAAGATACAGAATGGGGGACAATGCCTGGCTTGAGAGCAGTACGTGTGAAAAAGATCTTGGAGTCCTCGTGGACAACAAGTTAAACATGAGCCAACAATGTGATGTGGCGGCAAAAAAAGCCAATGGGATTTTGGCCTGCATCAATAGGAGCATAGTGTCTAGATCTAGGGAAGTCATGCTCCCCTCTATTCCACCTTGGTTAGACCACACCTGGAATATTGTGTCCAATTCTGGGCACCACAATTTAAGAGAGATATTGACAAGCTGGAATGTGTTCAGAGGAGGGCGACTAAAATGATCAAGGGTCTGGAGAACAAGCCCTATGAGGAGCGGCTTAAGGAGCTGGGCATGTTTAGCCTGAAGAAGAGAAGGCTGAGAGGAGATATGATAGCCATGTATAAATATGTGAGAGGAAGCCACAGGGAGGAGGGAGCAAGCCTGTTTTCTGCTTCCCTGGAGACTAGGACCGGAACAATGGCTTCAAACTACAAGAAAGGAGATTCCATCTGAACATTAGGAAGAACTTCCTGACTGTGAGAGCCGTTCAGCAGTGGAACTCTCTGCCCCGGAGTGTGGTGGAGGCTTCTTTGGAAGCTTTTAAACAGAGGCTGGATGGCCATCTGTCAGGGCTGATTTGAATGCAATATTCCTGCTTCTTGGCAGAATGGGGTTGGACTGGATGGCCCATGAGGTCTCTTCCAACTCTTTGATTCTATGATTCTATGATGGCATGGGCCAACTTCAGCCCTCCATGTGTTTTGAACTTCAACTCCCACAATTACAAACAGCCAGTAGGAAGTCACAAATACCTGGAGGGCCAAAATTTGTCCATGCCCATATATATATATTTATATATTGGTTTTTTTGGTTGGGGGGGGGGGGCAAAATACTGCTTGCTTACCATTGAAAATTGCCTAGGGCTGCCTCTGGGCTCCTGATTTACATAATCCCAACAAGTTCCTGTTTGAGAAAAAGACAACCGCTCTTAGAATCCCGCACTCAGAATGGCCATTGGCCTCGCTTTCTGGGGAACTCCAAAATAGTAACTTCCAAGCTGTGTCTCTGCCTTTAGAACTCAGGTACCTTGAACCAAGATCTTTGACTACTGCAAGTTATTTATATTTAAATGGCTAGATTGTCATCTGGCGCCAAGCACGTTGCCTGGCTTTAGAAGGCTTCCCTTCACTTTCAGAATGCTAACCTCCTGACTGGCAAGACAATAAGGAAGTGAGGAAGGAAGAAAATGAATTAAAAAGCACTAGAATGTGGCGACACATTTCAAGCGTGCAGAAAATCAATGGGGAAAAGGTTCCATGTTGGATGAGATTTGGCAGATGGCCCTTACATTCAGTTCCGTCTGACATTGGAGCCATCAAGGTTAATGGAATTCAAGGTCTTAGGAGACCTGGGCTTAAAATGCTAGAAATACTCCCAGAAAGCCCTTTGGCGTCGCTCAGTTTTCCTCTATGCAAACAGTTCCATAGAAACAGAAGACGGATATGCTCTTGAGGTCCCCACTCAGTATGCATATTTATTGCAGCGATCACCTTTCCTGGAGTCCTTTCAGTTCAAACTTCAAAACAAGGAGGTCCATAGAAACAGGGGCCTTGAACCATGTCTTTTAAGCTATCTGATATGGCAGGGGGAGGGGCTGGCATTTCCCCCAGTTATTCAAATGATGGCACCATATTGGTGTCCATTGTTTGTATGATTGTATAACTGTTGGCACAACTGTAAGACCACCATAAACCAGCAACCAGTGACTCACAGACTGGCATTGGTTCACAGATCCCAGCAGGACAGGGAAGGGGGGCAAAGTGATAGTTGTGCCCTCCTCCAACATAAGAATTCTGCCCCCCATTTGGCATTTTCCTTCAGTTCCCATATTTTGAGCTGAAACTGTGTTTGTAGTTGAAATAGCTCCAGCAAGGCTTATGCCCTTGTTAACTGTTTTGTACAGTACCACCCCCTTATCCACACTTCACTTACCCACGCTCCAAAATAACTTGCATTTAGTGCATGAGGATGGTTGGTATCACATTACTGACACTCGCACATCTACGTCCACCTTATGATTGTTTATGTATTTCATTGGATGTGGTAGAGGTTGGTATTTTCATCTTCCCTCTGCAGCCTCCTAAGCCCCTCCTCAGCTCATTGTGATCGCCTCCTTGCAGTCATTCCATTTGTAGTGGAGAGTACACACTTCAGAGAAGCATTTGGCGATATCCTTATTTGTTGATGTTATATTGTTATGTTTATTTATATCCTGACATTTGGACACCTCCAGAAAAACCAAGATAGGTCCCACATTTTGAGGCTGTCTGGATGGACCCCCAGATAAACACAAACTGATTGCATCATCTCTTTTTGTGTTTGGCTGTGGGACATGCAACTCTTGGAACGATTCCATCAGTGCTGCCTCTGAAAAATCCTGCAAATCTCTTGGGAAGACAGGTGGACAAATGTCAGCATGCTAGAAGAAGCAAAGACCACCGGCATTGACGTGATGGTCCTCCGCCATCAATTCTGCTGGACTGGCCACATTATCTGAATGCCCGATCACCATCTCCCAAAGCAGTTGCTCTACTCTGAACTCAAGAACAGAAAACAGAATTGTCGAAGGCTTTCATGGCCGGAATCACTGGGTTTTGCCTCCAGAACATGGCCATATAGCCCGGAAAAACCTACAACAACCCAGAAAACAGAATGTTGGAGGACAGGAAAAGAGATTTAAAGATGGGCTCAAAGTCAACCTTAAAAAATGTGGCATAGACATTGAGAACTGGGAAACCCTCCCTTGAGTGCTCTAGTTGGAGGTCAGCTGTTACCAGCAGTGTTGTAGAATTTGAAGAGGCATGAATGGAGGGCGAAAGAGAGAATGTGCCAAGAGGAAGGCGCGTCAAGCCAACACCAACTGGTACCGCCTTCCACATGGAAACCGATGTCTTCACTGTGGGAGAAAATGCGGGTCAAGAATAGGCCTCCACGTCACCTATGTACCCATCGCCAGGACACCGAACTTGGAGGACATTCTTACTCGGACAACAAAGGATCGCCTAAGTAGTAAATAAAGTAAGTTGGCTGTGAGAACATAGACATTTGGAACTTTCTTATGCTCTATCAGTAATGGAATGGCCAAGGGAGGGAAGGATTATATCGTAGTGACAAAGTAAGACCTGGAGATGGTGAGGGGAAGCTGTCAGATGAGTCCTGCATGAAGAACTCATTTATGTTACACCAGGCCATATTGGGCAATGTTTATGTTCATGTGTGAGTGTTTTAAAGCAAACTTCCAGTCTTTTCCAGATTGGGTAAAATGCATATGGTGAGCCTTTAATTTTGTCCTGGGAGTTGTCTCCTGCCTTTCAGCCACGCAGTGGTTCTCAACCTGGGGTCCCCTGATGTTTTTGGCCTACAACTCCCAGAAATCCCAGCCAGTTTACCAGCTGTTAGGATTTCTGGGAGTTGAAGGCCAAAAACATCTGGGGACCCTAGGTTGAGAACCACTGCACTAGAGCTTACTCACTTATAGCCAAGGCCGGTGGTACCCAAACTCTAGTCCAAGATATTGTGGACCTTAGCTCCTAAAATTCCCAACTGTTGGCCAAATTGGCTAGTGTGTTTTGGAACTAAATTCCAAAACATCTGGAAGACTAAACTCAGGGGACTACTGTTCTAGGGCCGTCTAGATGATAGGTTTTAAGACCACTGCATCATTTCCAGGACAAACCCAAGTCTTGTAAAGATCGTGTTGAAAGGTCATATGTAGCAGACCAAGTAGACCTTCTTGTAGCTTAGATTAGCAAGCAACCCCTGGATTTATAAGGGGATCAGGAAATATCACACGATCTGCTCTGGTCCATCAGGATCTGGAGGCTTCCCTAATGGCAAAGCTGCAGTTCCTTTCTTTGGCAACAGCAGGTTCTAATGCTTAGGCCAGATCTGCACTTGAGTTGCCTTCCATCTGGGCACTTTCAAGAGTCAATGTGTCCTATGAAAACCAATGCTAGGTGAGTCCAAAAGGTCCCACTGGATCACTGGTTGGAACCGTGAGCCTGTAAGAGAGTGAGGCTCCCACTTTTCTTGCTCTCCTGGATGATGAAAGCCATGGTTCCTTATTTCTCCTTTGTCATGGAAGTTTTATCCAAGACATCTTAGAGTGTGACACTTATTTTTTCTTTAGTTCCTCCCTCAAGACTCACCTTTTCCCTAAAGTCCTTGATTCACCCCATTGGCATTGAGACCACAGTCTTAAGCCTACAAAATGATGCTTGTTTTCCTTGTTCTTCTTGGTTCTCCGTCTTCCCTTTCCACACTCGGAAATTCAGGCTGCAAATTCCTCGAGGCAAGGACTTGTCTTTGTTTTGCTAATGCCATGAAGTCATCATCTATATTGTTGGTGCCTGTATAACTAATAAAATATGGAAATATCCTGTATTGCAAAATCAATTCATACGACAATCATTATGCCAACAGATGCAACTCACAATGACTTTTGCATATGCACGTCTCAGGAAGATTTGACTCAAATTCATATTTTGGGGGAGGGAGAAGGAAACAGTCCAATCGACTGTGTGTCCCATGACAGCGATGGTTGACAGTCAGATGATTACAGTGTGCTCCAAGCAGCTGTAGTTGAAGTCCGCACAATAATAATTAGAATTATTGTTCTCCTTCATGATGAGGAACAGAGTGGGATTGGACTTCCCATTCATAACAGCTTGGCGTAATTGTAGACTGCATCTTTTGATAATTATCGGCTCAGGCGTACAGAGATTTTTGCAACACAAGCTATTTTCATATTTAAATTTGCTGCCTTCAAATATTTGGGTGGAATTGTTAAGACTGGAGTATTAGCTTCTTCAGTATTAGCTTCCTGGGTTTTTCCTTTCTTGCACGTTACATTTAATATTTCACTCAGCACGGTGTTTTGTCCAAGGTCAGCTCTGTTATCATCACTCATACAGACACAAGGGACGATGCAGGACTTTGAACATTTTATTACAAAAATATCTTGCAAGCGAAAGGAAAAAAAAAACCCAAAACAAAATCCAAAACAACCGAAAACAAACTTAAGGTGCAATCTGTACAAACAGTCACCTAATATATATTTTTGATCCACAACAAATATATCCCAACTGCTTCATATATTCCTCTCCCTGGTCCCATTTCCCTCCCTGCAAAACCAGGGCCACATGATGAGTCTGTACAAAGGGTGGTCTTCAACACCCCTCCTCAATTCTGGGCTGGCGACGGCCAGCTAAAGCTCTTGGAATTCTCTTCCAAGCAATGGTACCATTGAACTTCCTTATTTTCCTATCTACCGTCACTAAGAGAAGGAAGAGTAGTGGCGTGGCATTTGGATGTAACAGAACAGTCGATGGGAAAATCATGCCTTGTCTAATGGCCAGAGTAAACATCAGGAGTAAAAGACACCACTGTGGCATCCAAAAGAGTCAGCTATGTGGTGGCTCAAAATGGCAGCCATGGGTCTACTTCCTTCCTCCCCATTTGCAACACTTATGGAGTGGATCAATGTCTGGATATCATGAAGATTTACTTTTCTTGGCAGCCACAAATGCAGAGAGGGAGTAAAGACCCTCAGCGTGCCCATGGCTATGTTGGACAAAACACTGCAGACATGAACATAGGAAGGAAGGACACCTGGAAGCCATTTTTGGAAGGAGATATTCACCTAAGGTAACATGTAACTTGGCTCTGACAACGTACTGTCCCAAAACTGCACTTCCTCCCTCACATTTTGGGAGGACGGTACTAGGAAATAGCCAGGAGGATGTGGATGAAATAATTTGTATTTGCAACATCAGGAGGACTATATGCCACCACGAAGATGCCCACATCTTGCAAGGTTCCCAGGACTGTATGCACTCATTCCTTATTTATGTCTCTGCTTTCTCATAGCAGGAGAATGGATGTCTTCCTAACTGGCTTTTCAAAAAAGATTGCAACATTCTCAGTGGCCCCAATTTCCGCTCTTTCGCTCTCTTGAGATGAAAAGAGGAAGCTCCTCCTGTGTCTCAAGACACATTCATGGTTGTGTCTTCCTGGAAAGAGAATATTAAACTGAGCTAGCTATTCAAGTGAGTATCCTCTGAGATACAGAGGACCTGAAAAGGACTGTCTGCAAGAGAAATGCAACATCTCTCCATGGTCTACCTGCTTTGCATTATAACCTTCCCCCTGGATCTTGAAAGCTCCTCAAATGAAGCATGGAACTAAAGGCTGGGTGGAAGATCCGTGGTAGAGCATTTGGAAGACATCGCTTCAACTGCTCAGTTGTCTCCCTTTTCTGTACTTCCTTTTATGCCCACAAACTGCTAGTTCCTAAACTGCATTGTAATAAAGAGGAACACACAACCACCAAAACAAAACCAAAGGAGAAAAAAAAAACCCCACATATCAACAGCAAAAAGAAGAAGAAGAAAAGAGAGGAGTAATTTTGGTTACTGGCAGCAGGAGTCACAGCGGGTGGGTTAAGATGTCTCGGTCTCGGACAGTTTAGAGCTTACTTCATCTCCGGCACTCTATACGCCTTGCTTTGCTTTTTTTTGTGCTTTTCACACTAGTGCTAAGTACACAGTACTACACCCACTTACAAAGAACATACACAAATACTGGTAATTTATTTTAGTTCTAAAAGGAGTAAACAGTTATAATGCTGAACAGTCAACACAGGTGGGATGACCACCTCTTTAGGCGGAGCCCTGTCTATCTGCTCCCCATAAAGAGGTGCTCTGTTTTTTCAATTCCAATGGCCTCCCCCACTTCATCAACTGCACTTATGGAATGGAAAAATGAGCAAGACCAAAGGAGGCAAGGATCAACCCCATGGGTTTGGCCAAGACAGACACATTGAAAGGCAGACACGATCTTGCTCTCTCTCCTCGAGAGGCAGAGACAGAGATGGGATGGAGACACAGTGCTCCTGAAAGGTGTAAAGTCAAGGGACAACAAGCTGCCTAGGCATCTGGATCTTGGATGGAGACGTTTCTCTTTTGATAACAGAGCACCTTGGCCCATAGTAGGTGACCTGTGGGAATGTCTGGCCCCTTATTCCGCCACTCAGTCAGCAGCACACCAAGAGCCCCCCTTTGCCTCTTCCTTTCATAGTCATTGCCCAACCATCTTTCATTGCTTCTTTGTGGGGTCACCAGTGGTGTTACTGCAGATTTGTGAGTGGTGTGGGGAAAAACAAAATGACTGGCACACTTTAAAACACATATACACACATACAAACTGGACCAGGATGGAGCCTAAGTAGAGTGGCAGGTCCCAGAGGGATCTCCCCAGCTTTGTAGACATTGTGGAGCAACTATAGAGGAGAGGGATGAGTCGATGTGGTATATTGGAGAACTACTACTAGCTTTGGGTTGTGGTCTTCTCTGATCATGCAAGCTGCCTTGGCATGATGGTTGGTGGAGTGGGGGGATTACCTCTTAGAAAAGTACACACTCACACTCACATACAGAGGAATTATATACTGTAGACCTTAAATAGTGCTGCTAAGGTTGCTTCCTCATTTTGACAGATTTGGGAGACGGCCCATAATGTAACGAAGAGAAAACCTTAGATTTCAGTACTGAGGTTGTGTCCCTATTTAGCCAGATTTGGGAGAGGGTCAGGACGTCGATGGAGAGGAAAATGGAAGGGAAGATAATCGATTTTGTTGCTAAGGTTGCTTCCCAATTTAGCCAGAGTTGTGAGAGAGTTAGAAGTGAACAAAGAGGAAAGTGGAAGATATAGGAGCTGGCATGATTTCTCAACATGGTCCTAATTTTCTAAGGCGTGAACCTATCACAGAGGCTGTGATGTGTGTACAAGGCCCCCCAGACTAGGAACACTTACGGATGAATGAAAAGAAAACAGACTAAAACAAACAAAGGGGTAAGGAGGTCAACAAATCTAAAGAGGTTCTACAGATTTGGCTTTGCCAGCAAAAGATGGGGGGGGGGGGGAGATAATAATCTGGAACAAGTTGCTATATCTCAAAGAGGCACTGTCCCCAGACATACTGTCAAGGGGAGGAAAAGAACTTATCTGTGGACTACAGCAATATAAAGTGAAACAGACACGATCTTGGTCAAGAAATCGGGCTTCCACTCTCTGGAGAACCTGGGATAGGGCCATTTCTTTCTCCCGTGTTATCACCACCTCTGCTCAAGTATCTTCAGAGGGATGGTGCCCAGTTGTTTTTTTCTCCTCCACACAGCTAGCCGAGGCCATTGGTGTGGCTTTGCTCCAGAGAAGGAGTCTCAAGATGGTGGCATCAGAGAGGACACAGTTGTCTTGAAAGGAAGGGGAGCGAAGGCTACCAGCCGGAAGAGCTGAAGATGACATCCCACCTGCCAATGAAGTGACCACTTGCCATCGTGCAGCTCTGGCTCCGTGCGGTGTGTTGATGAACTACAAGAAGAGTTACCATTCCAGTGAGAAAAGCTGTGTTAGATCCTTAGTTGGTCTAGGCCTCTCCTCTCCACCGAGAAAGCAGGGGATGAGAAGAGGCACCATGAACTAGCCCAAATACCAGGATGCAGTTGTGTGTAGCACCGATTAGTTTTCCTCCTTGACCTTGGCTACGTACATTAAGTTCCACTCAAAAGAAGTTGCAGGAACCACACCTTGGCAGGCAAATCCCATCACTCCTCTGTTGAGAACCAGCATGAGTCCAAGGCCAAGAATCCAAGCCCAGCCAGGAGGCGTCCGATGGCCCCAGGAGAGGGCCGGGAAGCCAGTGGACAGCCAGTGACCATCGCCAGAGATCACTTGCCCTGTACCTGCACGCTGGCATACTCCGAGCTGGTTTCCTCTGGCTTTGGGGCAGGTCTCTTGGGTGCTTTGCTTAGGTGAACCATGTCTAAGTCTGCATAGGTGACGTTCTCGTCGCTGGCAGGAGGCTTGGCAGCTTGGATGCTGGCATATTCCGACTGCTGGCTGATTTCAACCACCTGGCGGGGGCTCTTCTCGGGGGCCTTCTCAAAGTTCAAGTCTGCATACGTTACGTTGTTGGGATCAGGCTCCTGAAAGGAAGGAGAGGAGAAGATAAGCAAGGGGATATATAGAGTGGAACCTCTACTTACGAATGTCCCAACATATGCACATTTTGACCTACAAACTATCACTATGCCTAGGTTTTATTTTGACAACTGAACCCTGTTTTGATCTAGGAACAGTGCCAGATGGAGTGCTGAACAGTTCTCGAACTCTTGTGCTAAAAGGAGTGCACACGCGAGTACTAGAGAGAGCGCTCATGCAAGCACCTTGCGCCAAATGGAGCACTCGAGTGAGAGTGCTTGCCCCAGATTGAGTGCTTGCCAGACCTTTTGCACCAAATGGAGTGTACACGCTTGTGCCAAAAGGAGTTCTCGTGCCGAAAGCATCACAAGAGGGAGCACACTCATGAGAGTAGAAGGCTCCAGGGAACAGTCTCTGTGTCTCATGTCTCAGTGCCTCTGCCTGCGTGCCTTTGTCTGCTTGCCACCTGCTCTTCTCTGCTTTGGGAGATTGCTGTCAACTTTGAGGAAGCTTGGGTTAGTTTATTTTGTGTTCTTTTTATTCCTGGTATGTTTCACTTCAAGAAGAGAGGGACAGTGAGAGAAAGCAAGGGAAGGAGGCAGGGTGGAATTAGTACTATACTGTACAATATGAAGAAAATGTTACATTGGCTAACATACATTTTGTTGCCTCAAATGTGCTTCCATGCCGCAGTAGCTGGATGGAAACAAGCAAATTTATTTGTTTAATGTATTGTTGAAGGCTTTCATGGCTGGAATCACTGGGTTATTGTGAGTTTTCCGGGCTGTATGGCCATGTTCCAGAAGCATTCTCTCCTGATGTTTTGCCTGCATCTACGGCAGGCATCCTCAGGGGTTGAGGTCCTCTGAGGATGCTTGCCATAGATGTGGGTGAAAGGTCCTCTGAGGATGCTTCTGGAACATGGCCATTCAGCCTAGAAAACTCAAAGCAACTCAGATTTATGGAAATTCCACAAATTTCATGGGTTTTTCCTAGCAAAGGAATATAATCAAAGAATTGGTTTTGTCAATTCTGACCACTGAAATCAGCTTACAGCGCCTGGTATTAATTGGGTCTCTCATCCAAGCACTGACCAGGGCTCACCTTGTGAGTTGTGAGGTCTGTCGGAAATGTCTGCTTGAGATAGGGGTGAAAGTTGCAATTGGCCAACTTGATTAGCATTTAATGGCCTGGCAGTTTTAAGATCTGGCTTCTTACTGCCTGGGGGAATCCTTTGTTGGGAGGTGATCAGGTGGCCCTGCAACGTCAGGAGAGAATACTTCTGGAACATGGCCATACAGCCCGGAAAACTCATGACAACCCATTTATTTGTTTACATTCTCTTTTATTATGTGTCACTATTTTTATACATTATTTGTGTGTGTGTATGTATGCGTGTGTGTGTGTGTGTATTTATATGTGTGTCTGTCTATCTTTCCGTCTCCCCATCCATCCACCAATACATTTCTTTTCTTTCTCCATCTCTCTCTTCATCTAGTATCTATCTATCTATCTATCTATCTATCTATCTATCTATCTATCTATCTATCTATCTAATCTCTCTCTCGTATCTATCTACTAATCGATCCATCCATTCACCAATACATTTCTCTCTCCATCTGTCCATCTCCCCATCTATGTCTTTCTCTATCTTTCTATCTATCTCCCCATCCATCCATTTCTCTCTCTCCATCTCTCTATTCCTCTATCTATCTATCTATCTATCTATCTATCTATCTATCTATCATCTATCTATCTATCTATCTACATCTATCTATCTATCTATCTATCTATCTATCATTATCTATCTATCTATCTATCTATCTATCTATCTATCTATCTATCTATCTATCTATCTATCTATCTATCTATCTATCTATCTATCTCCCCTACAGCACCAGGTATTCATTGGCAGTCTGCCATCTAAATACGAACCATGGCTGGCCATGTTTTGCTTCCTGGATCAGTTGTAATTTGATGCATTCGGAGTGAATTTACACAACTCTAAATCAGTTCACTTCCCAACAAGATGCCAGTTCATTATTTTATCAGTCAAGAAATCCAGTATGAATATTTTTAATATTCAGGGGGATATTCAGAATCAACAATGACTGATTTCTGGAAGAGGCACCTTCAAAGATTTCTGGACCAAGCCACGTAAATGGGTTTCCTCTGTCCAAAACATGTTGGACTAGATTTTTTAATCCACCTTTTGAACATAGTGAGACATGTCTTCAGTTTCTTCTTTGGACTTTATTGGATACGCCTCAGTTTTTGTTTCTTTTGCCAAATAGCAGTGCAAAATAAATAAATAAAGGGAAATTTGACTGATGGGCAGCTGGTATGAATTCAGAATAATTTCACAGATATAGGTCATTGTGTGTGTACATGATAGGAGATCGTGCTTCTGGATTCTTGGCAGCTTAGATGGAGTGGCACACATCACCCTCCCTTTGTCCCAAAGGAGTGACATCTTCCCAGTCCAAGGGACAGCTGCGCACCTACGTGAGCGACTACGTCGGCTGCGAGGAAGCAGCGATGCGCAAGGCGGAGGGAGACGGTTTGCTCAGCGAAATGGCACAATCGCCCCACACAAAAGGCAACCTCTAAAAATAAAATGGGATAGGCCTCTTAGCAGCTGGGCCTTTTTATAAGCAAGGCATTTGTGTGTGTGTTTGTGTGCAAAGGAATGAAAAGAGAAAGGTGACGCAACTGCCACTAACACAACAGTGACAAAAAAGTAGCAGCCGGCAGTCTTTTATGAACGAGCGAACCATTGTTCCTCTTCCTTGGTGGAAGAGTTGGTGTCTGCATGTGAGGACCAAAGGTGGTGGTGGATTCCATGTCAGTGGGATGGCGAGTCCACTCCGGGTTTTAGTCCGAACTAAAAGAACCTATTCATATTTGTGAAAACAGTTAACACCCCAGCCCTCAAATATCCAAGATGTTCAATCCCACATCCTCTATGAATGTCCTCTGGGCAAATGAGAAAACTTTTTTGCTAATCAAGGTGGTCAGTTGAAACATTCACACCTAGCTCCAGCAGACAAGAGTCCTTTGTCTCACCCTGGACATTCCACAGATATATAAACCCTTTGTCCTAGTTCCAACAGACCTCACTACCTCTGAGGATGCTTGCCATAGATGCAGGCGAAATGTCAGGAGAGAATGCCTCTAGACCATGGCCATACAGCCTGAAAAACCTACAACAACCCAGAGAAAATGTTTTGTCCATTTCTTTCCATGTTTATAAAGCAGGGTGGACTCATAACAAAAATGATTATTTTGGGTAGGATTTTCTCAGACAGGGAGTGTACATACACTGCACAGCTGCAATAGTTTGGCACCATTTTAACTGCTTACATTAGGCATGGGTAAACTTCAGCCAGTAGGCTGTTAGGAATTGTGGGAGTTGAAGTCCAAAACACCTGGAGGGTTGAAGTTTGCCCATGCCTGGTTGTGCTGGTACGGCTGTACCAGGAGCTCCAACTTTATTTGCTTTGTATTAAATGTTTGCTTGCAGTCCAAGGTTTCATGGATTCTGCAGAAAGGTGGCTTCCTTTGGTTGTAGTCGTAGGGCAAGTCACCTGTCCATCATCGTTAAGTTTTGGTTCCGCCCCTTGTTCAGGGCAATTGGGAAGGGAGCCATTTTTAGTTAGTCTCAGCAAGGAAAGCTAATTTAGAGGACGTGTACAAGCTTCTCCTGTACAAAAGCTTCAACCCTTAAGACTTTCCAGGGGAGAACGGTCTTAAGAGCATCCAAAGATTTCCAAAGATTTCCAGGGAAACAGCCCTAAAGCTTCAAGGAATTTCAGAGGATAAACAGTTTGGAAGACCAAAGAACTCCAGCTGGAGAATCTACTGGCTTTACTGGTAGGTCCACTCGGTGCTCGAGATGCAGTTCGACCCGGTAGCAGAGCCCACATCAGTAAGGGTTAGATTACAGTCAGCCTGGGAGAAGTTAAAAAGGGATTTTCCTTTAAAGTAAAGAAACAGTTATTGAAGACAATTGCCTGTCCTTTGTGGACAAGATTAAGGAAGCCACCAGTTGCATAAAGCCTGGAAGCATTTGTTTAACTTTATTGAAGACAAGAGAAGTTTCTGTTTGATTGTTCATTAATAAAGGACTTTGTTATACTTTACAAGCCATCTAAAGACCATTTGTGGTGGAAAATCCTTGAGAACTTCTCTTCGGGGGCCCCTGGCTTCCCGCTGGGCTCAAGTTGCCCATCCTATTTTAAAGGCAATTCTTTACAGGCCCAGCGCATGACAGAACACTGGTCTACATCCTATGTGATCCTGGGATGTGTAGTTTGGAGAGGTACTTAGAATGATCTCTTTTGGGAGCTCTAGCATTGTACCTCCGGGGTATGGACTAGAGTGTTAAAGAAGAGAATGCTAAGGCCCCCCAAAACACAAACTACAAATCCCAGTATTCTACAAGGTGGCGCCTTGACAGTTTAAGTACTATTCAGCTGTGATGACAGTACAGTGTAGATTATTAGAAAGTGAAAAAGAGAAAGGAATTTGCCATTATTATGACCTCTGTATCCCAAGAAATTCAGCAGAACTTACTTGGTTTGTTGCTCCGGAAGTCTTCTCAGCTTCATGTAGCCTGAAACAGTGACATAAAAAAAATCCCATAGAATTACAAAACAGAAAAGTAAGTCTAATATTATTCCTTCTTAGTCTGTCTCTATGAATATGTACCTTGGCACCAGCTGCTTGTTTGGCTGTGCCAAGACCTCTTGGCTTGATGAAGGGAATGTGCGACCCCCTCCTTATCACTCAGTTACGGTTCCGTCCCAAGTGGGTTCCCCCAAAATTTTCAATTCCAAAAAGCCGTATGGCCTCCTGACCCCACCATACGGTCTGCAAATAGCAGAGGTGCAAAGAAGAATGAAACTCATAAAATTATAGTATTGGAAGAGGGCCATTCAGTCAGAAATCTTTCTGCCATGCAAGAAGGGACAATCCAAGCCAGGCACGGGCAAACTTTCTAACTTGGGGGCCTCATGATAGCACTCACTACTAGGAGGACTGGCTGCCTGGTGATGGATGGAAGGAAGGAAGGAAGGAAGGAAGGAAGGGAAGGAGGAAAAAGGGAAGGAAAGAAAGACAAAAGGGGAGGGAGGGAGGAAGAGAAAGATGGAAGGAAAGAAGCTAAGGAGAAAGGAAAGAGAGAAAGAAAGAAAGAAAGAAAGGAAGGAAGGAAGGAAGGAAGGAAGGAGGAAGGAAGGAAGAGAAGGAAGGAAGGAGGAAAAGAGGAAGAAAGACAAAAAGGGAGGGAGGGAGGAGGAAGAGAAAGAGGAAGGAAGAAGGGAAGGATAAAGGAAAGAAGAAAAGAAAGAAAAAGAAAGAAAGAAGGAGGAAGGAAGGAAGGAGAAAGAGGGAGAGGGGAAGGAAGAGGAAAAAGGAACAAAAGGGAAGGAAGGAAGGAAGGAAGGAAGGAAGGAAGGAAGGAAGGAAGGAAGGGAAGGAGGAAAAAGGGAAGGAAAGAAAGACAAAAAGGGAGGGAGGGAGGGAGGAAGAGAAAGATGGAAGGAAAGAAGGGAAGGATAAAGGAAAGAAGAAAGAAAGAAAGAAGAAGGAAGGAAGGAAGGAAGGAAAGAGGGAGAGAAGGGAAGGAAGGAGGAAAGGGAGAAAAAGGGAAGGAAGGGAGGAAGAAAAGAGGAAGGAAAGAAGGGAAGGATAAAGGAAAGAGAGAAAGAAAGAAGACAAAAGGGAAGGAAGGAAGGAGAAAGAGGAGAGAGGGAAGGAAAAGGGGAAGGGAAGGATGGAAAGAGAAAAAGGGAAGAAAGGAAGGGAGGGAAGGAGGGAGAGGAAAGAAAGAGGAAGGAAAGAGGGGAAGGAAAGAAAGAGAAAGGAAGGAAAGAGAAAGGGAAGGGAGTGAGGAAGGAAGGAAGGAAGGAAGGAAGGAAGGAAGAAGGAAGGAAGGAAGGAAGGAAGGAGGAAGGAAGGAAGGAAGGGAAAGAGGGAGAGGGAAGGAAGGAGAAAGGGTGGAAGGGAAGGAGAGGAGAGAAGGAAGGAGGGAAGGAAGGAAGGACAAAAAGGGAAGGAGGGAAGAAGGAAGGAGAGAAAGAGGAGGAAGGAAAGAAGGGGAAGGAGAAAGAGGGAGAGAGGGAAGGAAGACAAAAGGGTGGAAGGGAAGGAGGAAAGGAAAGAGGAAGGAAGAAGAGAAGAGGAAGGAAAGAGAAGGAAGGAAAAGGAAGGAAAGAAAAAGGGAAGGGAGGGAGGAAGAAAAGAAGGAAGGGGAAAGAGGGAGAGAGGGAAGGATGAAAGGATGGAAAGGAAGGATGGAAGGAGAAAGAAGGAGGAAAAGGAGGGGAAGAAGGAAGAGAAATGATGGAATAAAAGAAGGGAAGTTTAAAGGAAAGAGAGAAGGAAGGAAAGACAAAAGGGAAGGAAGGATGGAAGGAGAAAGAGAGAGGGAAGGATGAAAGAAAGGATCTTGTCATTTGGGAGTTGTAGTTGCTGGGATTTATAGTTCACCTACAATCAAAGAGCATTTTGAACTCCACCAATGATGGAATTGAACCAAACTTGGCACACAGAACTCCCATGACCAACAGAAAATACTGGAAGGGTTTGGTGGGCATTGACCTTGAGTTTTGGAGTTGTAGTTCACCTACATCCAGAGAGCACTGTGGACTCAAACAACAATGGATCTGGACCAAACTTGGCATGAATACTCAATATGCCCAAATGTTAACACTGGTGGAGTTTGGGGGAAAACGATGACATTTGGGAGTTATAGTTGCTGGGATTTGTAGTTCACCTACAATGAAAGAGCATTCTGAACCCCACCAATAAGAGAATTGGGCTAAACTTCCCACACAGAACCCCCGTAACCAACAGAAAATACTGTGTTTTCGATGGTCTTTGGAGACCCCTCTGACACCCGCTCAAAACTCTCCAGGTTGAGAAATGCTGGTATAGATGTAAATACAACTATACCTATAGATTGGTACGCATACACACAAGGCATATACAAACTAGGAATGCAATTCTTCCCTAGTTCCATCCTCAAAGTAATTTTAAATCCAGGAAAATTCATTTTTCTCCCTTTTGCTTGAATCCATTATTGAGTCTCTAGAGCGCCAGAAAACAAGCCTGCTCCTTTCTCACTATGACATCCTTTCTAATATTTAAACATGGTCATTATGTCCCTTTCTCTCAACCTTCTTTTCTCCAAACTAAACATTCCCAGCTCTCTCAGCCATTCCTCATTGGGCTTGGCTTCCAGACCTTTTGGTTGCCCTTCTTTGGCATGTTCCAGCTTCAATTTGGAGTTTAAATCACTAGCATCCAAAGGTCACACTTTGGAGGCGGAAAGCTATTTCCCAACTTAACATATTTGTTAACTCTAGGAAGAACTATTGCAAGTTCTTTGACTATTATTTTGCCAGAACGTGGAGAAGTCACCTTCTTTGGATTATACCTCCCCAAATGGAGCCGTTGTGGTGCAATGGGTTAAACCCTTGTGCAGGCTGAACTGCTGACCTGAAGGTCGGTGGTTAAACTCCGTGTGATGGGGTGAGCTCCCATCTGTCAGCCTCAGCTTCCCATGCAGGGACATGAGAGAAGCCTCCACAGGATAGTAACACATCCAGGCATCCTCTGGGCAACGTCTCTGCAGACAGCCAATTCTCTCACACCAGAAGCAACTTGCAGTTTCTCAAGTTGTTTCTGACATGATTAAAAAAAACCCTCCCCAAATGGTTCAGGGAAATGGAAAAAGGGATTTTGATATTCTGGATTTCTCCCATATTTCCCTTCTTTTATTCCTGGATCCATTTAGAAAATAAGATCCAAAAATCCGTTGTTCACACTGTCTCCTCTTTTAGCCTAACCCGCCTCACAGGGTTGTTGTGATTGCAAAATGGTGTGGGAAGGAAGAAGAAACAGGGTGTCCTGCTCTGAGCTATTTTAGTCTTAGCATGGTTTCTGACTGGCTGGTGTCGACCGACTTTTTGTCAGCTCTTCTATCTGTCTTTTCGCAAAACTGCCTCGTTGTGTATTAATTTACATCATGTTCACTGTCTTTTACATGAAAAAAATGAGTTACAAAATTAATGAGAAAATAAATAACGGCCCCGTCGTTTTCAATGTCATCCGGCTAAATGGCACGAGGGGGACATTTGCAATTAGACTCCTCTTAACCTTCTGGAGCCCTTGACAAAATGGCAGGCAATAAATCTTAATCAACCCAAGTCATGAAGTTTTGTAAGAAGGATCCGTCTGATTAACCAACGGGAACTTAAAAATAGTTAAAAACTGTACTCCACTTTTCTAAGAACAGTCGAGATGGCGAACAGCAAGGAAATCTAAAACAATGGCTGAGATTCTGGTACTGTCTTAGAAAGGTAAAGGTTTCCCCTTGATGTTGTATTCGACTCTGCGGGGTGGTGCTCATCTCCATTTCTATACCGAAGAACCAGCATTGTCCATAGATAACTCCAAGTGTCTAGATCTAGGGAAATAATGCTACCCCTCTATTCTGCTTTGGTTAGACCACACCTGGAATATTGTGTCCAATTCTGGGCACCACAATTCAAGAGAGATATTGACAAGCTGGAATGTGTCCAGAGGAGAGCGACTAAAATGTTAAAAGGTCTGGAGAACAAGCCCTATGAGGAGCGGCTTAAGGAGCTGGGCATGTTTAGCCTGAAGAAGAGAAGGCTGAGAGGGGATATGATAGCCATGTATAAATATGTGAGAGGAAGCCACAGGGAGGAGGGAGCAAGCTTGTTTTCTGCTTCCCTGGAGACTAGGACGCAATTGAACAATGGCTTCAAACTACAAGAGAGGAGATTCCATCTGAACATGAGGAAGAACTTCCTGACTGTGAGAGCCGTTCAGCAGTGGAACTCTCTGCCTGGAGTGTGGTGGAGGCTCCTTCTTTGGAAGCTTTTAAACAGAGGCTGGATGGCCATCTGTCAGGGGTGATTTGAATGCAATATTCCTGCTTCTTGGCAGGGGGTTGGACTGGATGGCCCATGAGGTCTCTTCCAACTCTTTGATTCTATGATTCATTGATCATTTTAGTCGCCCTCCTCTGGACACATTCCAGCTTGTCAATATCTCTCTAGTGTTCCTATTTCGGGGATTTTCACTTATTGCGGGTGGTCCTGGAACGTGACACCCGTGATAAGTGAGGGAACACTGTACTTGTGTATAAGTCTATACATTTTAGTCCAAAATCAGCTCCAAAAAAACATTGGCATGAGCATTGTACTTTAACTCTTATTTCAGAAAGGAATCATTCTCTTTTCTGAGTAGTGTGGCGAAAGGCAAATGCTGTTGTTGTTTTGCCCTGTCCATGGAATGACCTTTGACTTATGAATGGGTCCCTGACCCCAAAATCTGTCCTTGACTTATACACAAGGTCAACTTAAACACAAGTCGATATCATAATTCTGTCAGCAGAAATTTATACCATGTGGGAAGCAACATGGGATCTCAGTTAAGGTAATGAACTGGACTGCACATTTAGCTATCCATTAACACAAGGGTTGTCAAAACATAACTCTGGAGAGTTAGACCGCACAATCCCAATATAGGATCTCGGTGAATAAGAAAAGTAGAAACAATTGCACAAAGCCAGGATGAAATACGTAAAGAAGCCTTGGAGGGCAGCGATGGTGGAAGAGTATCCAGGACAACAACAAGAAAAGGCGGCAAGAAAGCCAGCCAACAAAATAATAAGTCTCCAGAGGTGACCACTGCTTAGGTTTCAAAACAAACAGGAAGGCAACCTTGCTTAAAGGCTTTCTTTAAAAATCTCCTTGGTGGCCTCTCCAGCAGCCCTGGTACAACCTCAGCCTTTGCGAGTGTTGAAAAGGGATTTGTCGAACACAAGGGCAGAAGCAACGTGGCTCTCCAAAGTGGAGAGCCATGTTCAGAGAAGACACAATGGATGAGTAGGATTCACATTAAGTGTTAGTGAGGGTTCCCAGGGATTCCTTCTTATAAGAGATGTTCTCTTATTTGAGAGTTGGGAAAGTTGTTCTTTTAAATAGATTCCTCCCCATTTCCAAAATCCTAGAGCTTTGAGTGTGGGCTTTCATAAAGACTGAAATGCATTAGCAACTCCCCTGTTCGAATATCAGCCAGCACACCAATACCTTAAATCAAGAAATAGTTTTCTAAGAGATAGTCACAGGAACATCTCAGCAAGCAAGAGTCCAAAAGTGGCAGGCTAGAACACAGAACCTAAAGCCATGGCTGATACTGAATGAAAGACTCCCTCCTGGGCACACAGAAGATTGGGCGACTTGGATGGCACTGAACAGGCTGTGCTCTGGCACCACAAGGTGCAGAGCCAACCTTAAGAAATGGGGCCACAAAATGAAGTTCATGACATGCGAGTGTGGAGAAGCGCAAACAACAGACCCCTTGCTACAATGCAGCCTGAGCCCTGCCACATGCACAATGGAGGACCTCCTTATAGCGACACCAGAGGCACAGAATGGGGAATCAAACTCTGGTCTACAAAGTTGTAATTCCAACATTCAAACCACTATGCCATGATAGCTTTCCAAGTGTTACTCTTCTACAATTCCCAGCAGCCTACTAGACATCAAAAACAATGGTGAAGTCTCATGGTTGGAATTCCAGCCCAACAAACTCTTCAGAGCCATGTGGTTTCTACTTCTGGATTCCCACTGTGACTGAAGAACATCATGCTCAGTTTTGATCATTGGATTAGATGGAAAAGATGAGAGGTGTAATTCAACGTAACTGGGAGTGCATCACATCTTTTTTTTTTTTTGGGGGGGGGGGGGGGGAAGCTGTTCTAACTATTATACTCTGGTCAGTAAGTATCCTAATACTCAGCAGTATGATCAAACTTACCTTACAGATGTAGGGTCTTTCCCTGCAAAGGAGAAAAGAAACAATTGCATTAGTTGGAATACCATTTTCCGCTGGATGTCAAGAAATTATTCCGTCCCTTCCAAAACACTTGAGTGGGACATTGTTATTTTTTTTCTCAATCTTTTCTGGGTCATAGTCCTTTTAGAAAATCTGATGAAAATTGTGGATTTACACTGCCCTGTATCCCAGGATCTGATCCCAGGCTGTCTGCTTATCCCAGATTTTCTGGCAATGTGGACTCATATAATCCAAAGCAGATAATCTGGGATCAGATTCTGGGATATAGGGAGGTGTAGAAGGGGCCTTAAACACAATTTCAGACCTTTAATAGTTACTTTTTTAAAAAAGCAATTTGTTTCATTATTTGCTAGAGTGTTTCCAAATAACATCCTGTAGTTATGAAAATAAGGAATTTGTTATGTTGTTTGTTGCACTACTCATTACTATTCCTCCCATTTCATTTTGAGGAAATAACCCCGTAGAGTTGATAAGAGAATAACATAACGTACGAAAATAATTCTGGGGAAAGAACCATAGAAAATATCTTTAAGAGTAACTCATACGATTAGGATACCAATAAAATGACTGTTCTAATGCTCTACATTACTTTTGAAATGTGATTCCATTATTATTTCGCAAAATAATTCAATACCGGCAACAGCATCAATTGTAACCTGTCAAGCTCTCTATAATTTTCAAGAGTGACAGATCCCTGAACCCATTCTGAGTTTTAACCTGAATTTTAAAGATGTGATTCAAGATGCTAAGTGTAATTCGAAATCACAAAATATTGAGTTATATTCTGAAGACTGAAACCTCATCTCACTGCCATATAAGACAGTTTGAAAATGCATTATAGAGTCAGTGTAGACTCAAGTCAACTATAACATTGCTGTGGTTATTGTTGTTGTGTGCCTTTAAGTCATTTCCGACCTATAGCGACCCTAACACAACTATCTTATGGGATTTTCTGTGACTGAGAGTGTGTGACTGCCTCAAGATCACCACTGGATTTCCATAGCCAAACAGGGAATCAAATCCTGGTCTCTAGAGCCATAATCCACTGCTGAAACCATTGCATCACACCAACCAGAATTGGAAAAGGTCTCTGATATATGGGGTGACCTTTGGCAAGTCACACTCTCTCAGCTTCAGAGGAAGGCAAAGACAAACCCACTTCAAAAAAGTCTTATCCAATCCTGCCTCCCTCCCTCATGATAATGGCTTGATGGAAGAAGACAACATCATGACAGTATACCATTTCTAACAGTATGGTTATTATTGCATTTGTCTTCCAAAATGCAGCATAAACTGTACTGTTATCACTTCTAGATGAAAGACAAGCTATCTGTCCGTCCGTCCGTCCGTCCGTCCGTCCGTCCATCCATCCATCCATCCATCTATCTATCTATGCAAGACATTTCAATTCAATTCCCAAGCAAGGACTGCATTTTCATATCACATTATGCCATACTTGATGTTAGCCTTGGCTTGTTGCTTTATCTATGAAATGTTCTACAGAGGACTAAAGAAATCTGTTGACCTTCTCCATTATTGGCATGTTTTCTCCCTTCCCCTTTTGTCAACTGCTCTTTCAGCTTAGGAAGCAAGTCATGAACAAATCAAGTTGATACGTAACAACAAGCCATGGTTGATGCAAAACAGAGTTGGTCAGCCAAAAACAAACTATGGGTTGATGCATTGTCGAAGACTTTCATGCCCGGAATCACTGGGTTGTTGTAGGTTTTTTGGGGCTATATGGCCATGGTCTAGAGGCATTCTCTCCTGAGGTTTCGCCTGCATCTATGGCAAGCATCCTCAAAGGTAGTGAAATCCTCAGAGGTTAGAAACTATGGGTTCTAATTGTGGTTTTGGGGCTACTTGACAAGTCATGATAGTAACTGAGATGGAACATAGAAAGTTACCTCATACAGAGTCAGACAACTGGTCTACCTAATTGAACATTGGGTGTATTTACTGTAAAAATAATGTAGTTTGGCAGAACTTTAATTGCCATGGCTCAAGGAATCCTGGGAACTGTAATTTGGAGAGACACCAGCATTCATTGGCAGAGAAAACTCCCACTTATACAGTCCAGCCAACACAGAGAGCTTTGAATTTACAATATTTCACTGCCAATGATTGTTACTGGAACCATTGTTATTCACATGTTCTTTGAGGATACCAGTTCACATCCTAGAGGATTTCGGGAGTTGTAATCCAAAAGTTGTAGTCCAAAAAAAGACCATCCCTATGCTCTGATTCCTGCCATTAGTGATCCCACTGCTTACTGCAGAGGTTCCCAACCTGGGGTCCCCAGATGTTTTTGACCTTCAACTCCCAGAAATCTTAACAGCTGGTAAAGTTGTAGGCCAAAAACATCTGGGGACTCCAGGTTGAGAACCACTGGCTTACTGCATGGGGTTTTGAATGAGACCAATGAAGGAAAGATAGACACACATGTGTATTTACCTTTCTGGTGCCTTGCTATGACGAGGTAGATAATTGAAACCACCAACACTACAAGGAGCAGGCAAACCACCGCAACGATGATGAAGACGGTCATCTCACCTGCAAAAAGAGATTGTATTTAGAGTTGGCTTCCTATCTCAAATGAGGTACTTTAAATGGTTAACACAAAAAAGCCAAACTAATAACAGATAGGATTCTGTTGGTGTTTTACTCATGCACGAGTCCTCCCACATACGCTATTGGAGACATCTGTACATCATCTGCATTGAGTTCATGTATGCAGAAATGGAGTTGCGCGTGAAGTGCAAGTGCGCTGTGCATGCAGATGGGTGTTTACACATTGTGTGATGTGTGTTGCACATGCAAATATGGCTGCACACTCAGTTTTGCCACAGCACAATCCACTAACAAGGCAAACATTGTTGTGCCGCTGCCTAAGTCCATGGGTTAACGCTTCATCTCCTTGATGTAGGATCTCAGCCAATATTGCAGTGAGATGAGATGGAACAAGAAGTGACAGAAGATGTAAGCACGGATAAATAATTTTCTAGATGGAGCAATGGCATGGATCAGAGAGGCTGCAGACTCAAGCTTGGCTCAAAGAAGCAAACAACTTCAGAAGGGGGATGAAATATTCACAGAGATGGGACAACTTGGATCTCCTCGGACTTGGTGATCTACAGCCCAGATGTGGTAATAGAGAAGGCCCTGTTTCTTGGTTCCACCAACACTTTTAACTGAGGGCATCTCTGGATGAGTTGGTAGACATGGTCTCAGTGGTGGAAAAGTGGGTTGAGACAGGAACATGCAAAGGTAATGTTCTATTTAATCATTTGTCCACTTTTACCAGTATGCTCTTCAACTTGGTACCTTCCAGATGTGTTGGAGAACAACTCCTCTCCAAAATTCAGCCTCAAGCATAACTCAGAGGGCACCAAGTTGGGGAAGAGTGGTCTGCACTTAATGATGGTGATTATCTCCATGGTTTCAGACCAGATCTCTCCCAAGTTCTCCCTTAGAGATTCTGGGGACACAATCTGGGCTATTCTGCATGCAAAACATTTGCTCTACAACTAAGTGACAGCCTTCTCCTTTTAAGTGCAGAGATCTGATGTTTACATGGCTACATGCAGATACTCTCCACAACATGGCGGATGTATATCCAGTGCAAGATGACATGCAGAACAAACTGTCAATTTGTATGGATTCAGCAGAGAGGGCAGAAATACCAAAGCACCAAATTTTGGTTGTGTCATTCCACACATTCACCTTCAGTGGACTTGTTACTATCATTTCCTTCAGTATAGGATCGGATGATCAACGTTGCTGTTTTGTTAACTGGAGGCTGAGAATTATGTCTGACCAGGCAAGTAAATATGGACAGATTCCTCTCTTCAGTCGCCTTCACCACCAGAGAGCTCTTGAGAGAGAACGTTCCATCCCAATGCTGGACCGGAGATTCATCAGTTACTGTTTCACTCTTGTCATTTTCAGGCCAGGCCACGATGACGTCATTCGGATAAAAATTCTCCACGTTGCAGGTGACAGTCACAGTATGGTTCAGGTGGACAGGAGGAGGCGGGTCGATTTCCACTCGGACGTTAGGCGGAACTGTGCAAACAAAGCCAAATACATTGGTGTCAAAACCTTACAATTAATCAAGGGAAATTTCTTTTGGATTCTAAGCAGGGCTGGACTGGGACTAAATTTTGTCATGACTTTGGTGTATAATGTATTGTCGAAGGCTTTCATGGCTGGAATCACTAGGTTCTTGTGGGTTTTTTCGGGCTATGTGGCCATGTTCTAGAGGCATTTTCTCCTGACGTTTTGCCTGCATCTATGGCAAGCATCCTCAGAGGTAGTGAGGTCTGTTGGAATTAGGAAAATGGGTTTATATATCTGTGGAATGACTGGGGTGGAGCAAAGAGCTCTTCTCTGCTGGAGCTAGGTGTGAATGTTTCAACTGACCACCTTCATTAGCATTTGAAGGCCTGGCTGAGCCTGGGGGAATCTTTTGTTGAGAGGTGTTAAGATGTGCCTGGTTGTTTCCTCTCTGCTGTTTTGCTGTTGCAATTTTAGAGTTTTTTTTAATACTGGTAGCCAGATTTTGTTCATTTTCATGGTCTCCTCCTTTCTGTTGAAATTGTCCACATGCTTGTGGATTTCAATGGCTTCTCTGTGTAGTCTGACATGGTGGTTGTTGGTGGTCCAGTATTTCTGTGTTCTCAAATAATATGCTGTGTCCAGGCTGGTTCATCAGGTGCTCTGCTATGGCTGACAGCATATTATTTGAGAACACAGAAATACTGGACCACTCCAACAACCACCATGTCAGACTACACAGAGAAGCCAGAGAGGAAGCAGAGAGAAGCAGAGAGGAAACAACCAGGCACATCTTAACACCTCTCAACATCAGAAACTACTTAAGGCACACAACAGCAACAACTCTGCAGTGAGAACATCACCAGGGTTATGGCCTCCTTCAACTCTAATGTCAGGATGACTTTTAGCTTCTATTTTAGAACTAGGAAAGGTTCTTCCTCTTAATCATTGTACAATAGGAAAAAAATACCCTGTGGTAGATCCTGTGGATTACATTTGGTCTCTAGGGTGTTTTTACAGAATCATAAAAGTTGGAAGAGACCACAAGGGTCATCCAGTCTAATCCTCTACCATGTAGGAGCACACAATCAAAGCACCTCTGACAAGCTGAATTGCCCACTAGGCAATGAAAATGTGCTTTTGCACATTTTATTTTGCCCCCAAATGTTCTCTAGGCATGTAAGATGCAATTCTGGCCAGTTCTGAGCCATCCCTGAGGCACCTTTCTAAGAGGAAATGACTTTCAGCCTCAGTTAGGACCAAAAAGACTCTGAGAGGGCCAAGTTGATGGTGATGGATGGAGGAAACAGATAGATAGATAGATAGATAGATGGATGGATGGATGGATGGATGGATGGATGGTTGGGTAGGTAGATGGATGGATGGATGGATGGATGGATGGATGGGTAGATAGATAGATAGATAGATAGATAGATAGATAGATAGATAGATAGATAGATAGATAGATAGATAGATAGGTGTTGTAGGGGCAGCACAGTCTTGAAGGTCTCTTGAGAGGGACAATATGTGCCCAATCCTGCCTTAGAGTCACCTTTGGCTGCAGAATGAGTATAGAACAAGACCTACAGCAAAGGCCTTCTGTGGCACTGTCACCTGAAGTGCTGAATACAGCATCCAGAATTAAGCAAGCAAAGACACTGTCGGAACAAATCTTGTCCCAGCAGATCTATTGATTTCTGCTACTGGAGTCCTTTTGGAAGTTGTGAGGCGGCACTTGATGTCGCATAGTGGGACCATTGCCAAAAACACATCTTGCCATCTGGAGGCCCTTTCTCATGCTGGAATTTCCTTTCTTGTTATTTCAATCCACTGGCTCGAATCCTACCCTCTGGAGCAACATCAAAGAACAAGCTTTCTCCGTCTTTCAACTGACATTCCTGCAGATATTTCAAGCTGGCTGCCATGTTACCTCTCAATCTTCTCTTCTCCAGACTAAATGTGCTCAGTTCCCTCAATCATTTCTCCTAAGGCTTAATTCGTAGATCTCTTACCATCTCTGTCATGCCTGCGCTGGACGCAATTCTGCTTGTCAGTGTCTCTCTTAAAGGACCTTGCCCTGAAAGAGACTCGAGATTCCAGGCAAAAAGTGACCAAAGCTATTTTACTATCATTTGTGAAGCTGTATTTCAGTTGGCTGTTTTGCAACCTAAACCCTGCAGCTAGAAATAAATATCATTGGGCTGAATGGTGCTTAAGAGACTTAGGATTGATTTCAGTTATGTCTCAGAAACTTAATTCTGGAGATTTTACTAGTGTATTGTTGAAGGCTTTCATGCCGGGATCACTGGGTTGTTGTAGGTTTTTTCGGGCTATATGGCCATGGTCTAGAGGCATTCTCTCCTGACGTTTCGCCTGCATCTTTGGCAAGCATCCTCAGAGGTAGTGAGGTGGTTTATAGTAGTGGTTTTTTTCACAGTACTGCTCTGGTCATCCAGCTTCTAGGTTCTCGTGGGTTTTTTCGGGCTATAGAGCCATGTTCTAGAGGCATTTCTCCTGACGTTTCGCCTGCATCTTTGGCAAGCATCCTCAGAGGTAGCGAGGTGGTTTATAGTAGTGGTTTATAGTAGGCTTGCGCCCAAGTCAATTTGAACAAAAAAGATTTGTAGTGTTTGATGGTCCGTTTTGTATAATCTCCAAAAACAGACTGGGGAGGAGGGAGCCAAAAAGCCCAGCAAAATGGATTAAGAGAGACAGATTTTATCAGCTACAGGCCTTACGTCTGCAATATACCTGAAGTAGGAGCTGCCGTGGAGATATTGCAGTGTATTTCTCTCTCTCTCTCTCTGGTGTCCATTTCCTTTGGAAAGCTTCCTAGACTCCTTCTCCAGAGAGGGCCCTGATGGGTGCTCGCTTTCCCAGCAGCACTTGCACAGGAGAGGAATTGAAAAATTCCTTTTGGAGCATGATGGGAGTTGAAGTTTTTCTCTCTTTCAGTTTCTCACCCAATGAAAACCTTGGTTGTATCCATGCTCTGATTGGCTGAGAATGGACACAACAATTCCCAGAAGCTTTTCTTGTGATCTGCATCAATAGGAGCATAGTGTCTAGATCTAGGGAAGTCATGCTACCCCTCTATTCTGCTTTGGTTAGACCACACCTGGAATATTGTGTCCAATTCTGGGCACCACAATTCAAGAGAGATATTGACAAGCTGGAATGTGTCCAGAGGAGGGCGACTAAAATGATCAAAGGTCTGGAGAACAAGTCCTATGAGGAGTGGCTTAAGGAGCTGGGCATGTTTAGCCTGAAGAAGAGAAGGCTGAGAGGAGATATGATAGCCATGTATAAATATGTGAGAGGAAGCCACAGGGAGGAGGGAGCAAGCTTGTTTTCTGCTTCCCTGGAGACTAGGACGGGGAACAATGGCTTCAAACCAAAGGAAAGGAGATTCCATCTGAACATGAGGAAGAACTTCCTGACTGTGAGAGCTGTTCAGCAGTGGAACTCTCGCCCTGGAGTGTGGTGGAGGCTCCTTCTTTGGAAGCTTTTAAACAGAGGCTGGATGGCCATCTGTCAGGGGTGATTTGAATGCAATATTCCTGCTTCTTGGGCAGGGGGTTGGACTGGATGGCCCAGGAGGTCTCTTCCAACACTTTGATTTTATGATTCTATGATTTGTCTTATTTTTAAAAATGTTATGGTTAAAGCTTAAAATAATTGTAAAAAATTAGTAGATAGGTGAATTGTTTTGAAACTGGACAAGCCTTCAGTTGTAAATGGGGCCTAAAACTAAGGTAGGTTTCATGCAGATAGGCCTTAAAACGACTGAGGATGGATCCTTTAAAATTTCCCATTGTAGCCAATGGGCTGAATCTTTGCCAAATGAAAATGTCAACACCCCTCCCCTTTTGAATAATTTCCTGGTAAACAGAATGAGGGGTCAGCCGACAATGGACCCTGAAAGGGGATGCCTTCTGGCCAGAGGCGGCCCTATGTAATTTTCAACGGTAAACAAACAGTATTTTGGCGCCCCCCCCCCCCCAACCAATCACTGATATACATTTTCTGTTTGTCGTGGGAGTTCTGTGTACCATATTTGGTTCAATTCCATCATTGGTGGAGTTCAGAATGCTCTTTGATTGTAGGTGAACTATAAATCCCAGCAACTACAACTCTCATATTTCAAGATTTATTTTCCCCAAAGAGCGCCCCTGGGCAACATGAACTATACTGCAAATGCTTACTTTGCGTAATGGGTTGGTTCTGGCCGAATTACATACCTCTAGTTTATAGGGATGCAAATTTTCACTATTTTCATTCTCACCAGCAGGAATGAACTAAAATACACAGTTTTCTCCTTGTAGTATGAAAGATATCAAAAACTGCATGATTGTCAGACTATTTACAGTTCACGATTTACATTGAGCAAAAAAAAATTGCATGCGGGTTTTTGTATGTTTGCAGAAAGCTACATTTACTGTGCAGAAAACATGTTTCTTGCACAATATATTTGTTTCTGCACAGAATGCCACATTTTTCTGTGTCAAAATATTTCTGTTTTCTGTACAGAAAACATAAAAAACACTCATGTGTATTTTCATGTAAAACAAACCCAAACTTTAATATTTTTGCCTATCTAGAGGTTCATCTACAACAGGTATGGGAAAACTTTGGCAATGCCTGATCTACACTGTCAAATGAATGCAGTTTGATACTACTTTAAGTGCCATGGTTCAATGCAAGGTCTTTTGCCTTACAACAGCAAAACAACAGAGAGTAGACAATCAGGCACATCTAATCACATCTCAACAAAAGATTCCCCAGGCACTGCCAAGCCATCAAATGCTAATCAAGGTGGTCAGTTGAAACATTCACACCTAGCTCCAGCAGACAAGAGTCCTTTGCCCCATCTGGGTCATTCCACCGATATATAAAACCATTTTCCTACTTCTAACAGACCTCACTACCTCTGAGGATGCTTCCCAAGGATGCAGGCGAAACGTCAGGAGAACATGCCTCCAGAACATGGCCATATAGCCCGGAAAAACCTACAACAACCCAGGTCTTTTGCCTTCTTTATCAAAAAGGGCAGGTGTCTTGCCAAACTACAATTCCCAGGATTCCTTAGATTTGAACCATGGCAGTTAAAGTCATGCTAAACTGCATTAATTTTATGGTGTAGATGCACCCTAAATCCTACTCATTAGAGTTTCCCAACACTTGAGAAAACTGTTTTTGACTACTAAAAAAGTTCAAATATGGTTTCTAATCTTAGTAATTCAATTGGTCTAAAAAATGAGGTTTGGGCAAAGCAGATTGTTTGGTCGCCTGAGTTTAAATAATAGAAAAACCATATAGTAATCTGTCTTTGACAAGGAATGCAACTGGTGAGCATGGCTGTAGGGCCTGTCTTTATTCAACACTGCCTACTGCTTAGGACCATAAGAAATGTCTCATTCGATCAAGTTGGCTCAATCAATTCCATAGTGAGCCAGAGGAAACAGCATTTAATGGCTTGCTAGTGGACTTCCCATAGGCAACTTCCCATAGGAAGAAAATAAATACTCAACTACCGCTCTCATCCAGAATAATGCCTCCTTATGTTCTTAAGATGAACGAGGAATTGAAATCCATAGATTACATGTGAACTTTCGGGCATTTCTGAAACTTCAGTCCCCAGAAGCCAATGGTAAAGGATTGCGGGATTCATACTCTTAAAAAGTATGGAAAATTTAGGATTCACTAGCTGTGGCTCTAAGTTGGGCATGGGCAAACTTCGGCCCTTCGGGTGTTTTGGACTTCAACTCCCACAATTCCTAACAGCCGGTAGGCTGTTAGGAATTGTGGGAGTTGAAGTCCAAAACACCCGAAGGGCCGAAGTTTGCTCATGCCGGCTCTAAGTACTTGAGTGGACACCTCCATAGTGCAACTCAACTTCAAAATGTGACCACAAAGGAATTTCAATTTCAGGTTGAGTCTCAATTTTCTGGAATCCAAAAGGCCTCAAATGCAGAAAATTATTGTTGCCCCTTCCTCTTCCACTCTTGGGGAAAGAGGGCTAATTACACATCCAGCCCCAGCTGAGTTTTTCTCCGGAAAATATTTGCTACAAGTCTGAAATCTGATAAGAAAAAGGGGAAAGGGGGGGAATCTGGGTTGAGACTTTGGATCACCTCTCAACAAAATCACCTCTCAACAAAAGTTTGCTCTAGGCCATTATATGCTAATCAAGGTGGTCAGTTGAAACATTCACACCTAGCTCCAGCAGACAAGAGTCCTTGGTCTCACCCTGGTCATTCCACAGATATATAAACCCTTTTTCCTAGTTCCAACAGACCTCACAACCTCTGAGGATGCTTGCCATAGATGCAGGCGAAACGTCAGGAGAGAATGCTTCTAGAACATGGCCATATAGCCCGAAAAAACTACAACAACCCAATCTGGGTTCTGCAGCTGGATTTACACAACTCCCCTGTCAAAAGCATATCTCAAGGGAAATAAAAGTTCAAATGTATCTAGCAGCCATAGGATCAGGATATGTTGCAAAGCTCTGACTGTCCAGCCAATGTACACTGTGTTTGGGTTGTTGTTCTGACCTCACAACCTCTGAGGATGCCTGCCATAGATGCAGGCGAAACATCAGGAG